AGTCTGGACGCGGAGATTTTGCTTTTTCATCATGTAAATGACAAGCCCAGCACAAGACTCAGTGAGCTCACCTTGGGGGGAAAATAGGAGGAAACTAGGCTTAAATGTATGCTATGAAGGAACACCAATCTTCTCATTGATAAAGTAGAGGAAATAATAGCCATCCCATCACTGTAGGATTTATGAATTAACTTTCATCGATATATAGCCTCAGTCTAGCTGACCCTGGATCCCTAGCTCATTCCAACACTGCTTCACAGTCCTGTTAGTGTCACTTTCACAGAGTAGGGTTTCCCAAAAGGAAGGATTAATGAGCTGATACACAAAGCAAGACCCTGCAGCCTTGTTCTTTCCCTCACACTGCTGTCTTCCTCTTGATGCCTCCTCAACTATCTCCATCTAAATGTGTATTTACCTAGCACACAAACACAATACATTTGACTCATTTCCCACAGGCTGCTGAATCACACAAGTCCCCAAGCAAGAAAAGACTTCAGAATCCAGAGCGAGGAGCATGTGACCAAGAGTTGTGGCTGGCATGAATCAAGCTACATTTCACAATGTTGAGTCAAGTGGCTGATTCTCCTGGCCTAGAACAAGCAGTAACTTCCCTCAGAGCAGAGGGCTGGTGCCCAGTGGGTGAGTGGCAGGCAAAGGAACCTTGGTCAATGGTATGCTTTGAGGCTACCAGTCTGCACACTCACTGAGCTGCACTCTATCATCTGCCACTGTCCCAAAGAAACAGGCCAAATCTTCCACAGGAACAGCTAAGTACCTAAGTGTCTACCAGATGCCAGGCACTTGGGGAAGCACTTTGTGTGCATTATCTTATTTAATCTTTCCAGCAGCAATCCAGTGGGGTTGGTACTATTGGAACCCCCAAGTTAAATGGGAGAAAAGTGAGAGTCAGGAGGTTAGGTAGGTCTGCCAAGAAGAGACAAAGATTTCAATGCAGGTCTGCTCTGGGCCTACTGTGTGCCATAGTCCACAGGATAATGCGTTCACAGTGCTAACCTCCTACCATGCCTACGGTGGGAGGGGCACTGGATGAGGAGTGAGAAGGAGTTCAAGCTCTGATAATTATAAGCCATTTACTTCCCCTGAGCCTTAGTTTTCCCACCTTCAAAATGAG